ACTCTTTGACTGCTTCTATCTCTGTGTTTAATTTAGTTTACTTTCAAGCAAAACTTCTCCCGCATTCCCAAGTGTGTAATTTTAAATGTCAGCAACAATAAACACACATGCCAATAAACACACACACGCACACTTACCAATAAACACACACACGCACACACACACACATACATGTTTTAAGCTGCTTGACAATTTTCCTTTGGTACTTTCGACCAACTTATTTACTTTAAGTTGCAGACAGAAACAAAAACAAAAACAAGAACCTAAAACAAATTTCGGAAAAAAGTTTCACGAACCGGTTCACGAACTGTGGTTCAAAACGTGTGTGCCACGCATGCCCTTAACCTTACAAGTTTTAAGTTCTTAAAGGTAAAAACGCCTTTATTCGTTTTGTCTGCTCGTGTTTCCATTCGTATTCAAGTTAACGAACTGGTTCAAAAGTGGTTCAAAGTCAGAAAACAGTTTTAAGACAGTGCAACCAGCTCAAAAGTAATGAACTAGTTCAAAAGTAGTAAACTGCTTTGCTGGAGCAAGGCGTCTTGAGTGAACTGAACCGGTTCGAAAGCAAGCTAAGCAGATTCGCTAAACAAACCTTAAGGTAGGTCACTTGTTCGAGCCGTGAGCCGAACCAGCGACCTTTTCTTGAGGCTTAAACTCTAGTTTACAGTTTACAGTTAAGACTCTGCCCCAGCTGAACTGGTTCCATTTGGGCGCGGACTTACATAGTCGCAGGCTCGAGTTTTTAAAACTTTGCTCCAGCTGAACTGGTTCAAGCTGAGAGGCGGACTTAAGGTATCTTCCGCTTAAACTGGTTCTCTTCTTTAGGTTCGGTTCAAAATGGGATTTCCAAACTGTTCAAAAGTGGTTCTTATGTTTTTAATTAAAGTGATTCGAATACTTTAAGCTTGAGCTTAACTTGTCCAACATCTTGCAATTTCTTTGCCTAGAAAAGTACTTTAAATTCCATTAACACGACTATTCGAAGGTTAATTTCCTGACGTAACAGCAACAAATAAATGGAATTCATAATTGCAGCTGGCAGTGAAATTTATGTGTCAAGAATTTGAAATATGCAAATTCATAATTTAATTCAGACAGCAGAAAAATATTCAAATATTTGGCTAACAACTCGTTTTCAACAGTTGCATTTGTCCAGTTGCAAGTCTGAGAAACTTAATAAATACCTTTAACATGCCCTTAAAGCTCTGCATTGAATTTAATTTATTTGCATCTCAATTGAAAAATGCAACATTCTATTTATTTGTAATTCGTAAGCAGCACGTAGTTCTCTGATCGCAAGCGTCTCAATTGCATTTCAATTGGCTTTTCAGCTTTAATTCACAAAATGAATAGACGGCTGGAAATTAATCCGAATTGACAACAACTTAAAGTCCGAAACAGTATTTAACTTATGGTTAGCCCCAGTAGAAAAGTCGTTGGTTCGACTTGCGAACTACTCGCCTTGAGGTTCGGTTCGTGTAGCCTGGCTTTCCACATGATTTAGAGCATTAGATAAATGCGATTTTTGGTGTGAGAGCGAGTTTTCATTTGGAGCTTAACCTATAAGAGCTACAGAAATTCGTTCCCATGCAATGCAAGTTTCCTTCCGATAATCGATACCTTGCCCGGTTTCCATGCAATGGATTGAAATCGATATCGAAATTCTGCTTTTTGAGCAAATCTCTTATGTCTTAAGAGGTAGAGTCAGCAGATTTGACATGTAACTTCTGGAATAGTATCTAGTATCAAGTATCTTTCATTTTATAGCAATTCAAATCGGTTCAAGAATCGCTTGCAGCCCTGTTATATAAATCGATAAATTGAGTTAAGTTGATCTTAAAGTATATCAATTTGTTAGCAAAACATGATTTTGATCCGTGATTTGTCATCACGCGTATTTACTCATCACATATATCCTCAACCCCTTTGTGCTCCAAATGGATTTTTGTTGGGTCGATTTGCATTTCCTTGCTCAGTGAGCGCATCAAATTTTGTGCCCTAGCTTATTCGACTGTTTGTTTAGCTCTTAAAAAGAGCTGACCCTGTGCTGAAAGTAAATTATGTATTCCCCGCATAGACAACCACTCGGCTAAGTGGTCGAGTCAACTGTCTTGCGTAATCCGTTTCGTAATGTTAATGTATTGAAAGAGCTGTGCCAGTGCCAAAAAGCAAACCAGGACACAATTATGACAGAAAATGCAAGTATGAGTGCTGTAAGCGGGTGTAACCGACTAGCAGATACCCTGAGCCCAGCAACAAATGTTCTTCCCTTGGCCTCAGACTGAAGGAAAGGCTTTCCTGAATAACTTCGGTGCTTAAAGTCCGAATATTTGTGAACTTTTCAAGGCATAAATGTGGCATACAAAAGTCTGAGCATACCAATGCAGAAGTTTTTACCTTTGAAACAGGGTTTTCTTTTCAATTTTGGGGGGAGTTGAGGAATGTAATCTGAATGTACTCTACGACAGCCTACATGCTGTAGTAATACAAAGAGTTATAGTATTAAGCATGTGCAATATTAGTAATTAAGATTAGCATAATAATAGTATTTAAAATACGATATATTATACAATAATGTTACATAACACTGATATCGATGACTTTTCAATATGCAGCTATTAACAGAGGAGGAAAAATAAATAAAGTGAATCGTAGATCGTGCGTAAAAGAAGCTGGTTCTCAATACCAGAATATGACATATCAATCTCCTAAGATTTTTGTATTTTATTATATTTTATATTATTATTTGCTTCATATTGTTTATAATATAAGCTTTCTGCAGCGTCGAACATACATTTGCACAAAACCATCATACCCTTTCATTCTTTTGTCAATGGATTGAGGGTAAAGCAAGCATGTGCCTAAAAAATATATCTGCAGATGGAGGCTAAAATTCGCTGGATTTGAACCACTATTCAAGTGCACACAAAGGACACGTCATGCTGTAAATGATTATGGGTTGGGGAGAGCTGCGAGTTGGTTAGCTTTTCGAATGGGTGCGATAGATAGGACACGTATCTAATAAAATGGCTGGCACGCGTGTGTCCCGTGTCCTTTACACACACACTCACACACACACACACACATGTAGTCTAATGTGGCACAAACTTCGATCTGCTGTGGCAGCCACTTGCAGAGCTTGCACACGGGCGCAAATATTTGGCCAAGTTGGCAGCGCTCGCTTTGTGAGCTCATTAAATTTTGTTAAATGTAAATATGTGCGCGTGTGTGTGTGTGTGTGTGTGTGTGTGTGTGTGTGTGTGTGTTTGAGTGTGGTGGTGGAGGGTGGAAGGGGGGGGGGGGGGCGTGTCCTGCATAGAAGCGTGCAACACGTAGCTGCCATTGGCATTGTCGCAGCCAAAGGACAGCCGGGCAAATGCACTTCCTAGCACACATCCTGTTGCCAATCGCCCGAGATCCGCGTGCTTCACCTCGTCCCGCTCGTCCTTGCGAATTTATTACGTGCAAATGTAAATAGCGGCACGTGCAGGCAGCCAGTATTCAGACGCAGACCCTGACTCGCAGCCATTCCCAAGATGAATGCGCGACCGCGTCCTGTGCTGGCAATAAAAATGTTGTTGTCGCCAAACAAAGGCGAGGCAAATGCAACCACACACACACACACACACACACAGAGAGAGAGAGAGACGCCCCTTCGCCCCTTTGCCCCTTTGCCCTAACCAGCCATTCCGTTTAGCTTGCAACGCTTTGTCAATAGATAAAGCATCTACAAGATACAGATACTTTGCCTTCGTCTGCGTCTTCGCCACAATATGCAATATTTGGATTATTTATTTGCCAACGCTTGGCCCCCTCCGCACACCCGCCCCTGCTGCGTCCTGGCCTGGTCTCATTTTCAGCTTGGCTAGCATTCACTTTATTTTTTTAGCTGACAGCAAATTTGACAGCTCAATGCAAACAGTAAAAAACTGAGTCCTGATGCGCTTGAATTTGTCGCATTAGCTCAAACAGGCTGGCTAATAAAAGGTTGCAAGCCAAATGAATGCATTTGCAAATACAAATGTACTCAGTTGAATGCTGAATCATTTAAATGCCTTGGATGGGTCCCATTGCAAATCAGCAAATCACTTGGAATGCTACAACAAATATAACGAGTACCCGAACAATTACTCGCATAAGTAAATATCTATTCGATAATAATGAATGAATGCAAGTTTCCAATATCAACTCCAACGAGTGCAGCTAAAAACAAATACGCTCACATTTACAAATATCCTGTATTCATTTGGTAGAGTTAATTACGCAAATTCAAACAGCAGACAACCCTGCGCGAAATATTATTGCAAACTATCATATAAGCCAACAGATATGATATTTGGACTCAGTTATTAAATTTGCAAGACCCCAACAAAATAAACTTACAAATGTATTTACATGTAATCTAAACAAATGTCTTCGTGAGGAGCAAAATGAGCATTTGGGATTTAGGAAAACTTTGAGTACAATAATATTAAAAGAATAAAACGAAATAAAATGTGATATTATTTCCTGTTGAAAACCACAACAAATATCGATATATATATATATTAATATATATCGGTATATATGGAAACATATATCGATTTGCATTGGCTTGCGGGGCTTATCTAGTAAAAAGAGAGACTATATGTACAATTTATTTATCCTTCTGTCAAACACAGATGACAAATATTATAGACTATTTGAAGATCTGTAGAACTACCCCAAAACCAAGAGGAACAGTAAAGACTTTTAGTACAAGCTCAAACGATCGGAAATGAAATAATTGACATTGAAAGACATTGAGTATCTATTGAGTTTATAGAGTTGCATTTCGTTGAAAAACTCTCTCGATAGACAGCTGGATATATTGAAAAATTTGTAAATAGCAACTCACAACTGGTAACATTTGCATAACTCAATTCTTCACTTAACCAATTCACAGCGGCCAGTGACGAGTCGGGCGACCATCATCATCAACAGAGTAAAGCAATGCTAATGGGAACTAAAACAGGCTTATGATGATGATGGCCCAGCAAAACGGCGACCAAATCGCCAACAGCATTCGCAATCGGAGCAAACTGAATCGCAGCGAGACCTTTAAGTTGCAGAGCCTCAGTTGGATGCCGAGAGTGGGACGGGTGGAGCGACAGCGACAGCGACAGCGACAGCAACAATTAGAGACCATTAGCCAGAGGCAGGCAAATCAATCCATATTCAGACAGAAGCTGGCGCATTTCCAATTTGCGAGCGCGGGCGTCGGCTTCGGCGTGGGCGTGGCCAAGGGAGGCGGACAATTGCAGCTGTTGCTGTTGCTATTGATTTGCAATTGCATTGGTAAGTGGAAAATGCAGTAAGTTTTCATGTGTTGAAGCGTTGCGCAAAATGTTCAGCTTAATTAATAATCAATTATCGATAATTATTGTTATCGAGCTATCGAATAATATCACACAACGTTTATCGCATTATCTGTAACTATCATTCATCATTCACGTCTAACGAATGATTTATTAATAATTGTATTCATTTGTTTGTTATCGATATTTGTAAGCGCATTAACTTTCGATAACAAGACGTTTTGCTTTGCTTTTGCGTCATGTTAACTATATTCTTTACGATATACTATCGATAACAATGTCCAGGACAACGGAAATCGATATCGCTTGCTTGGATATTCGTTAGATTTTTGTTTCGATAACTGTTTTACTGTAAATTTTAGTTTAGACTGTGCAAGTTCTGAATTGAATATATCTAAATATATAAATTAAAAATTCGTTAATTGTTCAATCAATGTTTTTCTCTTCATGGCAATTAACCATTGAAATGAAGATATTTCCGTTTCAAACAAAATCTCCTCAGTGGGCGCCTTCGAGCCGGACTTTGTAATCCCATTGGAAAATGTGACCGTTGCCCAGGGCCGGGACGCGACATTTACGTGCGTGGTCAACAATTTGGGCGGTCATCGGGTGAGTGGTGACGGTGCGTCAGTTCCAGCCAAGGTATGTATCGGTTTTGAAAACGCAGCGTTTTAATTGATTATAAAAATCGTCTATCGTTTATCGTTTCATTTCTCAATACGTTTCGGTTAACGTTTTTTCGTTTCGATTCGCACCAGTTTCACAGTTGAAAGTGCACAAGTTTTCAGTATTTTCATTTTGAAATCAGATAATAAATAAAATGATCGAAAAAATACTGCACAACAATCACAATTATTATGTAAACTTTTAAGCGCACCTACCTACTATATATTATATAAGTAAATATATCATACTATATATTATAAATATATATATAATAATAGCACTCTGCATATTTAAAGCACCAAATGCACTACAAACGAATCAAAAAACAAAATCCTACAATAATAATAATAATAATAAAAAAAACAACCCATTATTTAAAATAAAAATACCAAAAAATATATATATATATATACATACAATAAAGAAAGTAAATACTAAAAAATACCATAAATACCAATTGGTTGAATGGAATATACAACAACAAAAATACCTGTACATATGCATAGCTTTATATTGTTTTTATCATCGTATTATTATTAGACCTCGCCTTTAATTTATAGCACGCAAAACGGCAGCGGCGAAAGAGAAGGCAATACATCGCGAGAGAGAGATAGCTAGCTGTATATATCTACATATATATTTGCGCATATTTATTAAAGTATTGCATAAAGTACACGAGGACTGATCCAAGAGGAATATTCGCAATTGTTGTCAAGAGCAATAAACAATTGCACGAAAATAAAATAAAAAAACAAAAAAAAAAGCAGACATTAAAATAAATAAAATGACGTAAAAAATTATACTAAATAAAGAAGCCGCAGAGCAACAATGCAAACGAGTTAAATAAAGGAAAAAATAACACAAAACGCAGCGCAGAAATAAGAAGAGCACGCGGTGAACTGACCTGCTAAAAAATTAGGTTTATTCGAAAAAATATACGATTTATCCTTGTAATCTGTGAATCGACAAGATTATGACACAATAGCGCAAAAAATATGGCAGTAAATGAAGCTCTACGCACTAAAGCTAGATGGATATATGTCTCCCTGTTTAAGGACTTCGAGTGTTTAACTATTTTTAAGCATAGGTCTATTTCTATCGGTATCGATATGAGGGTCTGAAGCTAGATGGGTATATCAGTTCCTATTGAATGACAATTACTATCGATATTGTTAGCAATTTGTATTTAAAAAATCGACGCTTTACCCTTATAATAATACAGCACTAAATGAAGTACTGCGAAGCTAGATGGTTGGTAGACTTCCAGCTGAGGGCCAATTTCTATCGATATCGATATGAAATTTTCATAGAAAAGAAACCCATTTATCCTTGTAATTTGACTTCGTGTTAATGGACTTTGTGTTTTTTATTTTTTTTTAAGCATTAACACATGTTTATCGCTATAGATATCGATAGAGAAAATTAATTGAAAAAACAGACTAGAGGCCAAGCCATGAACAAAGACCCAAACTTCGTGAAAATCGGTTGATATTTGACCAAGTTATTGGTGTGAGAAATTTCGACCTATGTCTATATAGGATATTTGAGGGTACTATTTTCAGAAGAATTTTGATCAAGAATAATGTTTTCAGATTTAGATGCCAAATTGATCGAGAGACCAAACAATGACCAAAAAAACAAACTTTATGAAAATCGGATGATATTCTATCTATATTTAAGCGTAAAGCATTTTCTATCGATATTAATATCAATATGGATAACATGTGTTATTGAAAACAAAAAATATTCCCTATTCTTTCAATAATATTGCATTAAATGAAGTGCTACGAAATTAGATGAATATATCATATCGTGATGAAAGACTTGGAGTATTCTTACTACTTTTAGGCGTAAAGCAATTGATTACATACAAATTTTCCCACCTTAGGGAAAGGTTGGAGAAGTGAACAGAAGCAAAATAATTGCTCTTCTCCATTTTATTTTCGTTTGTTTTTCAATAGTTAATTGTAGAAATTGGACAGAAAACAATGCCTTATTTGAAATTTGAATTTGAAACAAATAAATATCTAGTGTTGGAAATCACGTGAGGTGTCAATATTATTTTGTTTTAGCCTTGAGCAGAAACTGTGAATGCGCCCAGAGCCAATAGTTTTAAGGGATTCTATAAAATCGCCTTTAAATGTAAATTAAATTTGATGTAGTCGGAGTTTTTGTAAATTTTTTTTTTACTGTGCTTCATTCTTGTTTTATGCCTTTCACACAATGAAATGCATTTTGTTTGCACATCGCCAACAATATCTGAATCGACGTATGTGTGTGTGTGTGTCTGAGTGTGTGTGTGTGTGTGTGTGTGTCTGAGTGTGTGCCTCGACGTAGTCGTGTGTGTTTTTGCATTGTGCAAGGCACGTCAAAGAGTGTTAATCAACGAAATGGCATCATAAATAAAAATGCCATTTCATATAAATCCTGTGATGCTTCAATCAAACAAAAACAACACAACAATTAGAGAGAGAGAACAAGTGGGAGATGGGTGGAAGAGCGGCTGGGAGAGGAGCCAACGGAATCGATACTCAATTTCATTTTATTAAAACAATAAATAAATAAATAAATAAAATATTGTCAACATAATAAAATAAATTGCATTCGCTTGGAGCACACAAGATAAAAAACAAAAAAAACAACAAAACAAAACTCGAACCAACTGCAACAATAAAATAAGCAAGTGCTAAATTTGAAACGAATATGAAATGCCCTAAGCCAAAGTTGAATAAAAGAAATTGAAAATTGAAATCTAAAGAAAATGCAAATAAAATGCATTTGATACATTTTTTTTGTGCGTTTGGTAAGTTTATTAAAATTTGCCTGAAAATGGAGCCCAACTCCCAACTTCGTGCCCAGACTTTCATTAAATATCAAATTCAATCAAATTTATCAACAAGTTGGCAGCACCTAAAACATGAAAAGTCAGGCAAAAGCTGTGTCACAAAATTGATTTAGTCAATACAATATAAAGCTAAGGAGCTTTGACACAAGTTGCAAAAGCTGATAACAGAAAGAGTCAAACAAATCATTTATTTTGGGATAAATCAAATTAGTTGGCATCACCAAAACACAATTAAGCAAAAATTATTAAGATTGCGCTTAAACTATAAGATTCTTTGCAACAAAGCTTTTAGAATGACTTCCAAGCGTTTCTTTCCCCAAATCGAGCTTTGAGGTTGGCTGGTTTTAAACGAGTTGGCAGCACAAAAAACTTTAAAAGCATGAAAATTGGCTACACTTCTGCTTGACACAAAACGTTTTAAGCTTGATTAAAGTCGAATTTTGTTAGCAAGCAGTTAATATCAGGTATGGAGAATCCTTGGATTAAGTTCAACTTGAGCTTAACTCAAAAGCTAGACAATTTTCTGCAGATACTTCCATAAATTGAAAAGAAAGTGCTGAGAAATACTAGTTTGAAGGCATTTCAGCTTTATTTTGTTTACAGCTTCACGCAAAAAGCTTCAAGACATTTCAAATACTTTTTTCAGCTTTAAGTTTTGCAAGCTGGAAGAAACAAAGTTAAGGTAATGCAAAGAAAATGAGAGTAAGATAATATTTACTTCAGTTAGGCCTAAAGTTTAGCTTAAAATAATAAAAAAGAAGCCTAGTCTTAAGATTAGAAAACAAAGCAGACAATTTCTTAAGCATACTTTTTGAATATGAAAGCCCATTTTTGAGAGCATCCCAATAGGATGTAAAGGGAAAAGGCTCAACAGGGATTATCATATGACACTCAAAACCCAGATATGTCTATATATGCAACATATATATGCATGTCTGATTGTTATATCTTTTGCAGCGCGCATGAGATTTATGTTATGCACAGCGAAAGGTTGTCTTCGCGCTTGTTAAAGAGCAACAATGACAACAACGAATTCAACGAATTCAACGAATTCAACAACAAGCATCGAGTACAACAAACAGCGAGTACAACAAACAACAACGGCAGCGAGTGCTCGCAAACAACGAGTACGACAAAAGAGTCGCATAATCGTCGCATTGTTTTCAGCCGCGTTTCGTTTATTTTTATTGTTTTTATCTTAATTTAATCTCCATTTGGTTTTTTTTTTTTTTTTTGTATTTATTTTAATATGTATCTCTTTTCATTTCACATTATTTTTTTGGTGTTTTTTTTAATCGAGTACGAGAAACAGAAATTTGAATAAAAATAAATTCAAGCGCACCGAGTTGAAACCGAAACAAACTTTGCACCATTTTCATATATACATATGTATGTATGTGATTGTTCGCTTTGTACATATGTTTGTAGTAGTCCTATGTATGTGTAGTCCTGTAATGCTTTAGTCCTTTTAGCGCCGTAGTCCTGTATTTAGTGCTACTGTATCCTGACTTTATGACATTTGCTCGCTGTATTTGCATTAACACAGAACAATTTCTTTTTTCTGCACTTTTTTTTCCTTTTCTTTTTTTGGGTATTTTTTAGTCACAATCGGAATCGGAATCGGGATCGAAATCGGCATATCGAAATCCCTTGTTTTCGACTGGGTGGCAACTTCATGCCCTTTGCCCCCGGCATTACTCAATAAATTTGCTTTATTGAGTAAATAAATAAAGTGACAGACCGGCAAACAGACAGCCGTCCCCTCATCCATGTCCCACTCAATTCCCTGTCCTTCCATGAATCGCTATTTATTGGCTTATAGCATTTTTCGACGCCACTATTGACCCGGCCCAAACAGTGGTAGGCGTGGCAGTTGGCCGTAGTCGCAGCTGCATTTGCATTCAGTTTGTTTGCCTGTTAACTCGAGCATCCTCGTTGCCCTCTCAGCTCCGGCAGACGTCATCAGAAATCTACCCATAACAGAGATTTTTCAGTAGCTCAAAAAGCAAATCAAATGCAGATGAGCGTGTTTTTTTCTTTATAGCCCTCCTTTACCTCAATTGGGTCTTGAAGTTGACGTAAAGCTTATTTTAATACAATTTTAGCTTATATTACCTTAATCCGAATCCAGTCTTAAATTTTCGCTACACGTATTTTCTTTTATTTAAATTTAATCTAAACTAAATTATGTCTTAGCTTAATTTAGCTTAATTTAGCTTAATGGAAGAAACCTTACAAATTTAAATTCTTACAATTTGTTTTGTATTAATATCTAAAAAGAATAATTGAAGAAATGTTCTTTAACTTGATTATGTTTGCTTTAACATACTTTTTCAACATTTAAATCAATTAAAAGGGAAAAAAAGCTTTATTATATAACTAAAATTCTTAAACCTTTAAAACCTTGTCATGTTTTTCAAATAGCATGAAAGTAGTTCTTCCAGAAAATTAGTGCTAAGCAGAGAGTCAAAAGATCTGACAGTTATCTGCCTGGCAACACGCTTTTCCATACTTTTCTTCCAAAGTGTTGCAAAAGAAACCTTTTGTTTTGTGGAGATAGAAAAGCGACAAATAGGCGATAGGGTCATGTATATGAAATACTTCCCAGATAACCATAGATATACCTTACTTTATAGATACACGCAACACGCAAAATGTTGTTGCACAGTTTCACATATTTTCTTTTAGAAGATAACAAAGCGAAAATGCCAGATATACATGATAATAGCTAGATAATTTCAGGTCACAAAAAATATACTTAATTTAAAAAAATAGAAGAATAATCTTTAAGAAACCAGAAAAGTCTGATCCAGTTAGCTCAATTGTATTCATAAATTTTATTTGAGTGTATCCAATATTCCCAGTTACTGACAATTCACAACCACTGTGCTTGAAACAGCTGCACAAAGCGAACAAAAAAAAAAAAAAAAAATAGAGAAAAACTTTAATTATAACAGAAATGTAAACGAAGCGTTAAATTTGCTATCTCTGTTATACTCGCAATGTTTGCATTTGAGGCTTTTGACTTTGTGATATTTGCTGCCAAGCATTAGCGTCGGCAGCGACGCCGGCAGAGGCTAGAAACCGTTTGGGCTGCAGCAGCTTAAAGCTTTTAACTAAACTCAAAGAGATAGACAGACGAGCGCACAGTGAGATTTGCACACATGCACACACACACACACACATACACAGTCTCTCAGCCTCTTTTGGATTAAGAGAGCATGCTTGTTGTGTGTGTGTGTGTGTGTGTGTGTGGAGTAAACAGAACCAGTTGCTGTTATTAAGCATTACGTTAATGAAAACTGTCCAGCGACTGATAGAATGTGACGCCCCCCAAGGTAGGCAACATTTTTTGTATTTGCTTGTGTATTCCCATTGAATATGCATGAAATGGGGCGTATTGCAATTATGCACATGTATGTAACAGGCAGAAGAGAGGGAATATATATGTTGAACATATATGCTTAATTAATATTCTGGAGATGTTTCTTTTTCTTTAACATTTTCTACCTTCAATAAATGTAGCTTTTGTAGGGTCAAGCTAACCAATTTTGGTCTATAGAATATTCTATAATAGCTATGTCGCTCGCGCCCCTTCAAAGAAAGTTTGATTACAGTACAGGGCAGCTTCTAGTCGGGTATTTTTCATTATTATGATTTTTTTTATTTAATGTGAGTGTGTACATAAGGCGTGTGCCTTGGTTAGTTGTCTTTTGCATGCTTTAGCCTGTAGCAACTGCACCTTAAGCCCTCATTATCCTCCGCTTCCCAGCCCCACATATATATAATTACATACCAAAAAATATACATACATATATACTTTATACTTTCGATGGATTTTCTTCAGTTTCGTTTGCTAAGGAACATGATATATAAAAATACAAAGAAATATCTGATTTAAGAAATGAAAAGCGGCCACAAATGTTAACTAATTGCTGTATGTTATCTCTTCTTCTTCAAAATACACACACAAACACACAAACACACAACCGCACACGCACACAACAATCTAATACAATGGCCAACCACAAAACCCAATTCCACTAATTGCACTTGAAATATCCGTACCCCGATTTCATATCCTTGGCCAAAACGAACAACTTGCAAAAACTTGCGGCATCAACGAACAACAACAACGAACAACAACAACAACGAACAACTGTGAAAATGGCGTCAAATTGCGCTGACATCTGACGACAACACCAAACGCCTGGCGCCTGCAACCGGGTTTTGGTTCTTGGGTTTGGGTTTTGTGTCTCTGGCAACTGGCAACTGGCAACTGGCAACTTTTTCGCCATTGTCAACGACACCGACACCAAACGACAACTTTTGTATCGTTGACACAAAAAAAAAACCGCCCTCTATCCACCCGGCTGACCACAACTACCCCGACATACCCACAATTCCCCACTCAACGCCAACTGATGCCGCCGCAACGAAACTTTCAACTAAATTCTAATATATCCGCAAATCGATTTCAACGAACTATCGAAAACACAACAAAAAAAAACCAAACTAACTGAACGGAAATTGCTGAATGCGACGTTGATGACGCTGCCCGTTGACCAATAACTGTAACAACAACAACGACAACAACAACGACAACAACAAACAACTTGCCTCCAATTTAACGTTTTCACGTTTGACAATGACAATGCGGCAAATCGGAATGGTTGGCATTAACTATATGACACGATGATGATGATGACTCCCTGATAATAACTGCCTGACAATGACTCCCTGATGATGATCATGATGTTCATGACGATGGACAACAACCCACAACCCAATCGAATACAACAACAACAACATTTGCAACCCAAATGAACAACATTATTTGAAATCATAAAAAAATTGCATCTTAATGCAATCTGCAAACGGTCAAATGAAACGATGGAAATGAATCGTCATAACTGCTACGACGGAATTGAAACAAATAAACATTTACGGCAAACAACAACTGTAAACAATAATAAAAATTGCAAATTGCCAAATGGAACAATGGAAATGAAACGCTATCGCACTGAAACGACGTTAATAAAACTGTGTGAAACAACAACAACTGTCAATCGAAACGGAATACACAACTGAAACGGTGGAAATGAAACACAATACAACATATGAACATAAAATGCATTTACCCACAACAATTACAACAAATGAACATGTATGAAATGAAACAATGGAATCGAATCACATTTACATAAACTAAAACCACACTTCCATTTAAAATGCTCAAAAATAACCAATTAAATTGATTGAAATGCAATTTGCAAACTGTCAAATGAAACAATGAAAACGAAACACTGAAACCAACGAAATGAAACGCCAAATTGAATGCAACCAACATCTGTCATAAACCACAACAACAACGACATCAGGTCGCTTGGATTAAGGCCGATGCAAAAGCAATTCTGGCCATACACGAGCACGTGATAACGAACAATGATCGATTATCGGTGACGCACAACGATTACAACACTTGGACCCTGAACATACGCGGCGTTAAGATGGAGGATGCCGGCAAATACATGTGCCAGGTCAATACAGATCCCATGAAAATGCAAGTAAGTATGCAAAAGTAATCATAATACAATCAATTGTTGTTATCGATAACACTGCGCGTTTTGAACTTTGCCAGTGGTGGATATGAAATAGAAAAGCCAGAGCTGAATTTTTGTCATAATTGACTCACAAAATGCTTAGCAATAAGTATTCCCTGTTGTCGATAACAGTTTAGTAATGCGTTTTGTCAGTAAAAGGTGAAAAGTGGATACAGCCAGAGCTGCATTCTTCATAAGGTGACACTGATAATGCTGCTTTTTCTTAATAGTGTGAGGCTTAAGCTCAGAGATAAGCATGTTCTGTTAACGATAACAATCGGAAATCGAAGCATGTACGTATATGTCGGATGGCAAAATTTTTTTAAGATTATCAAATATGTTAATTCTTTCTTTTTATAAATAGCTCACATTATGCCTATATGTCAAGCGGCTGCTGTTATCGATAACAGCATCGAACAACATTAAAATGTCAAAAACGTGAATGTTTGAATTGCATAACGTATCACAAATTATTTCGTAGTATTTAAACTTATTGAATTCTCATGTTCCACATGTGTTTTCAGCGATTTAATGTTATCGATAACATTTGAGTACTGAAAGACAAAGTAAAGTAAATGAGCCATTAAAAGATAAATATAAATTAAAGTAAAAAAATAATAACAATCAAATACAATATTTGCCAAGCACAACGATAATTCGTTGTTATAGCTTGCAAAACCCATTAATAAATTTCTCCTTTTTACACAACTAACTATTGTGGTCGAAATATTGAACTTTGAGCTAAGGTTGAGTCAAGCAAATCGATAACTCGATAATTGCAATCAAATTGTTCGTCAGAAGCAAACATTTACAAATTTCTGTGAAACTCCATTATTAAACTATGCACTTGCTAGGCATAACGAGACTTTAATTAACTTGCAGTACGATGAAATATGGAAACCCTTGCTGATATTTGGTTCCTTTTTTTTTTGTACTCCAAAGCTGTCTGCCTCAGTGCTATCAAATTGCTTTGAACGCTTGCAAATGTGCTCAGAATATGCAAAAGAAAATTTGTACACGAAAAAAAAACAAAAAATTGAGCTCAAAACAAGATGTCGAGTGTGCACGACTAAGAAATTTATTTACCTCAGCTTCAATCAAAGTTCCGATTGAAATTTGAGATATGCTTAAAGAACATTTGTTTCAAAATCGATTTTAATCGAAATTATGAATATTTCTGAAGTTAGCGAGATACAAAAATAAATAAATTTAAGTATCTAGTTAGACAAATAGAAAGGCGGATATGTTTAGACTGACACACTTCAGAGTCCTGATAAAGAACACATGCCTTTGCATAACAGTAATATACCCTTTGCCAATCATATTCAATGGGTGAACAAAAAGACGAAACGGAATGAAATGAAATGGAATTACTTTGGGCCTGCACTTGTCATATGCTTTTGACGGCATTTGGCAGCACTGGCGTTTGATTGCTGTGTGTGTGCGTGCGTCTGTGTGTGTATGTGTGCAAGTGGTTAGGGTAAAGGGAGTTTGCTGGCATTTAAACGCGCTATTTAAACAATGAAACGCTTAAATGATAAAAATAAATAACAAACAATCACATCGCGTTGCCAGACTTCTGTAGTCCGTCCATTGAATGCACCTCGATATGTGCAGCACGCTTGCGTTCTCAATTTCATTTCGTTCCGTTACATACGGTTTCATTTCGCTGCGCAGCGGCCCCTGGCGGCAGCGTCTGGTAATAAAATCAGGCTAACCAAGCGAATTGAGTGAAAGGCAAATATGAGACAAATAAAAAGCAAACAGGCCGCACGCAGGCAGCCGAAATCTCGACATAGACAATTCGCGACTGCCTTTTAAGCCTTTTTCGCCGTTTTGTTTGCTTTCTTTTTTCCACGTCTTTCTCTTTAATTTCTCGCTCTCTGCTCGTTTGGGGCTTTTTCGGGACGTTGACTTTATTTTATGACGTAACTGTCAACAGCAGAAACAGCCACGACAACAACAATATCAGCGCCAAAAATACCTTACATATAATAAAAAGCAAATGCCACAGGCAAGTACACTAAACGTCACACAAGCGAATTGTATGTATGTATTTATGTGTGTATGTAAGATTAGCTTTAATTGAATGCAAATTTTCAGAGGCAGCTTAATACTGCGCTCAAATTAAACGCGACTCAATAAGGGTTAATAAATAAAAGACTCAAGACTCAACTTATAACTCGATAAACTTAACACTGCGATTATATTTTACCAATGCACGGACACGCCGGCGAAGAATGGCTTCATCACGGCAGACAAGCGAGAACGAAAGAAATGTGCATACATACATACATACTTATATACGTGCATATGTAGCCGTGACAGCGGCTTGAGCCGAAAGCAGCATAGGAATATGAAAAAATGCTAAACAAAAATACATATGTACATATGTATGTACGTATATGTAAGTCTTTTGCCAGCTTACGAACATGCAGGCAAGGCAAGGCTTGATCAAGGCAGATAAGCGAGTGCGAGAGCAATATACATACATATCTACAAACATACATACATGTAGATGTATAAGATAACTGTAACCACTGTTACGCAGCGCTTGAGCCGAAGGCAGCATAAGAAAATGAAGAAATTCAAAAACGAAAATACAACAAAATAATTTATGTACATGGTACATACATACATACATATGTTTTATGCGAGTTTTTGCCAACTAACTCCCGCAAAAGAGACCAATATGAATACAATATCCAATAATATCCAATTATTACGTGAGCTTTTTGCAATATACATATGTATGTATGTACATACACACCCCCTGCATAGCTTTATTTCTATTTAGACGTATGTTTATAAGACTTACCTAGCTCTGCGACGTCAGAACATAGCAGCGCGATCATTCACATATTAACACACACACACATACACACGCGACATACCGCTAGTCCGCTAAATACTTATCGAAAGGAACGCAGTTTAAGGAAAACAACCAAACCTGCTTGCTCTCAAGCAATTACTAAAACCTAATGCCAGCTTTCACCAACCGCGCGCCCGCCGGCAGAGCTGCGCTTTAGGACGATTATGGGGAAAGAGAGAGGAGCAATGCGTAGACAATAATTACTTACCAAATCTCTTAAGTGCAAGCGTGATGCAAACTCCCGCTCTCACGTTTTGTCATTTGCTTTGCTATTTCTCTTTTCTTTTTTGTATTTTCATTTCCTTTTCCTACGACGAAGATCATTTAGCAAGAGTCAATTAAGCTTGGCTCGGATCTGTTAATGAGCGAGAGAGAGAGAGATATATAACATAGTATTTGCACAGTAGAACAAAGCTGCTGAAACGGCAATAAAAAGGAAGTTGCTTATAAGAAATACATATATGTATGTACATAAGGTCTTTTTTTTTTTAAATTGCATAAAAACCATTAAAAGCAAAAATTAAATATTAAAATAAGATTTATTGCTACATGTAGAGGGAAAATGTCATTAAAATGTAGATTGAAAACAAGCCAAGACCAAAAAAGATTAGTTCATGACATAGCTTAAGATTCAGAAATTGGCAAAATAAATACTTAAATACCAATTAATGTTCATTCCATTCTTAAAGACAGCCACACTGGAGGTTGTCATACCGCCGGACATAATAAACGAGGAGACCTCCGGGGACATGATGGTGCCCGAGGGCGGATCCGCGAAGCTGGTTTGTCGCGCCCGCGGCCATCCCAAGCCGAAGATCACCTGGCGGCGCGAGGACGGACGCGAGATTATCGCACGCAATGGCGTGCATCAGAAAACCAAAGGTGAGTCGAACAGGGTGGCAACCCTCCGACATCAAACTGTGTGACCGCATGTCAAACTCTGGAAAATTCTGCTCCATTTTCTCGCACGCAGCCATCTTAGTGGAGGGCGAAATGCTGACGCTGTCGAAAGTCACGCGATCGGAAATGGGCGCCTACATGTGCATCGCCTCCAACGGGGTGCCCCCCACTGTCAGCAAACGCATGAAGCTACAGGTGCACTGTGAGTATGCCACACTAGGTTTTCCAAGCTAGCCGCACTTTTATATACACTGTACCAAGACTGCAAATTTGAAATACATTTACTTATGCATCATATACACAAGAAGTTTATTTCTTCTATCGATAGTATTAATTGATTAATATCAATGAATATCGATTTGTATATCATGTAGATTTTGTAGATACATAAGTATATTTCGATAGTACAAATCGATAAATGACACTGTATATCGATTTGTGGATCTTGTAGATTTCAAGAGTTTAATACGGAAAATTAAGTATGTACCAAGGGTTTCGTTGAAATTATATTGTCTTAAACCATATTTTTTATCGATATCTAGTACTAGCGATAAATATCGAATTGAAATTAGAGTTTTTCGATAGTACAAATCGATAAATGACACTGAATATCGATTTGTGGATCTTGTAGATTTCAAGAGTTTAATACGGAAAATTAAGTATGTACCAAGGGTTTCGTTGAAATTATATTGTCGTAAACCATATTTTTTTGCGATAGCTAGTCCTATCGATAAATATCGATCTCAAAAAAGGATTTTTCTTGAACATTTTGAAGAGCTCAAGACTTATTTGGCTTACGATTTACGTTTTTGATGACCCACAAAATTTTCAGTGTGCACACACAATCTAATGCCGTTGTTAAACACTGAAAATTTGAGGACGATCTGTTAATAAGCACAAAAGTTATTTAAGAATATGAATTTCCCATGCCATGGAGCTCAGGAAAGAAGATGCACAACCTTTGCACAAAAAATATACATAAATTTAAATATTCAATTTATATCGAAGCTGCGGACTAGAGGGCATTTGCTAGTCGGTCAGTGTTAGATGTTACGAAAGTCTTCTTCTTTATGTGCTGCTATTGATAAATGACTTTTCGGGTGGCTGCTAACAAATGCTTTGATTTATAACCCCAACGCCAGGCGCTACAATAATAATCATAATGTCTCACACATAGTCGGATGTGCGTGCAAGTCCTTCCACCAGCTGCGACACCCTACCGCACCCTACCCACAACCTGATACACCCTACTTCAGGCAGCGGCAACCGCAGCATAACGCAATAACGCGAACTGCAAGTGTTTCCGTTTCGATTTCCGCCGCCTTCCGAGCCAAACTTTCCAAATGCATTAGGACAGCGGCTAGCCGTATGGTTCTCTGCACGCTTGTCGAGCCGTCGAGAGAATGGCGGAGGGGAAGAGGGAGGGAGGTAGGGAGGTAGGTGGACTATCCAGACTCGAGTCTAGACGGGCGGCACTTGGCGCAAACGTCACGTTTCTGTTGTAAAAGTTGAGCAGCTTTTGGCTGTTTGGCTTTAAGCCCCGTGTATCATGTGACGCGGCAATTGTGAATGGGGCAGCACCACCACCCCCCCCCCCCCCCTTCCACACCCACTACCACTCCCGCACAACAGCCCTGCAGCAGCGCCCTTTGGAGCCGTGCGTGCCAGCGGCTGCTGCAGCGCATTAAACTTAATGAAATTTTTCTGCAAAGGGGCAAAAGGCAACAAACAAAAAATGTTAAAGACGAAGAAGTACCGTGTGGATGTTGGGACAGGTTAAATTGAATATATATGTGTGTGTGTGTGGGTGGGTAGGAGGGAGGGGGGTGGCATGTTGCTGTGCTTGTCTCGTAGGTAAAAGATTCTATCTGCAAATTATATTGACACGGCCAAAATGTTCGCACCTCAATGGGCGGCAGCTGCTCTGTGCGCGCGTGTGTGTGTGTGTGTGTGTGTGTGACACACTCTGTGCCCTACTCAAATGTGCCCCTTTGCCGCCGCAGCCAGCGCCCCGCTCCGCCCCGCCCCGCTCCCTAGCTACTGTCAACGCGGCTCTGCCAAAGCGTCTGTCGCCGCCGCAAAAATTAATTTCCATTTCTACCGTTTTTTTTTTTTCTTTTCTCATTTGCTTATTTTTTTTCATTTCATTTTTTCTTATCTGCTCCAGTTTTTTGCAATTTTTTTTTTTGATTTCATTTCATTTTCATCTCTTCTTCTCTGTGTCTATCAGTCATTCGCTGCCTGTTTCCAGTCGCTCCCCGCTCCCCGCACCACGCACCCCGCTCCCCGCTTGCTTCTTTATTGCTTTTGGCTTTGCGAGTGCGTCTCAATTTCAATTTAAAAACTCCATATGGTCGTACACAGCCCACCCCCCGCCCTCCCCCACTCCACGCTCCTTTTGCAGTACAACCTTCTCTTGTACCACAACCTCACCCGCTGCACAAAAACTCCCCCTTCCATGCACCACACTGCTGTCTTCTCTGATTTCTTTTGCTCTTTGACGTTGTTTTCTTTTTTTGCTCTTCTGCTCACGTCTTGTTGTCTTAACCTGACAGCAACAGCCTCCCCTTTGGCCGCCTGCCCCCCCTTTTGGGCCCGTCCTTCGCGCATTTACCGCTTGATTTCTTAAGCGCTTTGCTTGATTGATTTTAATCAGAAAATTAAGTGGATCCTTGGCTTTTAAATTTCTCCAGTACAAATAAAAGGCAGACAGGCTGTCAGCAGGGGCTAAGCGCAAAGTGAGAGAGCGAAAGAGAAATAAAAAGAGAGCGTGGAAGTGAGGGCATTCATTAAAACAACACTTTGCATTTACCCAGAGACACTTTAAAAGCTATCACATTTTCTCTTTTCAAAGGGTTTTTTTCCTGGATGCCTTTAAAAAAGTTAAGGAAAATGTGGCCCGAGTGAGAAAATTCTAGGTCAAAGTATACCAGGAAAATGGGTTTTAGGGCAACATATTTGCTAAAACTTAGACATAAATGCACTTAATTGGGTAATGGACGTAAAATAAGGTCTTAGATATTAGATCTATAAAGCTTCTATTCAAAAATAATTACTTTTGGAAAATTGCCATAAGATACTAAATTTTCTAAATTTATAAACTGCCTCATTATCATTATCATTGTCATTGTCATTGTCATTGTCATTGTCATTGTCATTGTCATTGTCATTGTCATTGTCATTGTCATTGTCATTGTCATTGTCATTGTCATTGTCATTGTCATTGTCATTGTCATTGTCATTGTCATTGTCATTGTCATTGTCATTGTCATTGTCATTGTCATTGTCATTGTCATTGTCATTGTCATTGTCATTGTCATTGTCATTGTCATTGTCATTGTCATTGTCATTGTCATTGTCATTGTCATTGTCATTGTCATTGTCATTGTCATTGTCATTGTCATTGTCATTGTCATTGTCATTGTCATTGTCATTGTCATTGTCATTGTCATTGTCATTGTCATTGTCATTGTCATTGTCATTGTCATTGTCATTGTCATTGTCATTGTCATTGTCATTGTCATTATCATTATCATTATCATTATCATTATCATTATCATTATCATTATCATTATCATTATCATTATCATTATCATTATCATTATCATTATCATTATCATTATCATTATCATTATCACTATCATTGTCATTGTCATTGTCATTATCATCATCATTATAATTCCAAACTATCAGACTTTGTGGTCCCCTCTTAAGCTGTCCGACGATCTTAATAAAAGCTCTATATGATTTCTATCTATTTATTATTAATTTGTTTATGCTCAATTCTATATGGAATAATCATCAAAATATTATATAAAAAATAAGTTTCATACAAGCACTTCCTAGTTTTATTCATGTTATTCTTAAGTTTTCTCTGTTTTGGTTTTTCACCTGATCGCATTTCAAGTCGCCGTTAGATCAAATAAACACGAAGATCAAATAGACGAACAGCTGTGCTATTGGACTCAACTTGGACGCGGTCTGTACAGGTCGCTTGGGTAAACACACACGAGAATGTGAGCGAGAGGGAGAGAGATTGAGAAAGCAGGGCGGAAAGAGAGATAGAGGGTTGATGACGCAATTGTTTTTGCCATTGAAGAGCAAAAAGCGTACAGCTAAGCATACAGCACATGACGTAGAGCCTAGGCGTAAGACTCCAAAGCATTTGGCTATAAAACCCCAAAGAACTGGGCTAAAGACAAGTCAGTTTCCAACTGCGAGTCAGAGAGAATGCGCACCTACATCCTTGTCACATTGTTCGCTGTGGTGGCTGTGGCCGCAGCACAGGGCCCAGGCGGTGGACGCGGCGGTCCAGGTGGTGGACGCGGCGGTCCAGGTGGTCCCGGTGGTCGCGGCGGTCCCGGTGGTGCTCGTGGCCCGGGTGGTCCCGGTGGCCGCGGTCCAGGTGGTCCTGGCGGTCCTGGAGGTCCTGGTGGTCGCGGTCCCGGCGGTCCTGGAGGCCCTGGTGGTCGCGGTCCCGGCGGTCCAGGTGGTCCAGGTGGTCCTGGTGGTCCAGGTGGTCCTGGTGGTCGCGGTCCTGGCGGTCCAGGCGGTCCAGGCGGACACAAGCGCACCACCACCACCGAGAGCAGCACATCCACTGGCAGTGATAGCACCACTGTGGCTAGCACCACTCTGGCCAGCACCACCGAGGCGAGCACCACTGTTGCTAGCACCACTCTGGCCAGCACCACCGAGGCGAGCACCACTGTGGCCAGCACCACCGAGGCGAGCACCACCGAGGCGAGCACCACTGTGGCCAGCACCACGGAGGCTAGCACTACTGTGGCCAGTACCACCGAGGCGAGCACCACCGAAGCCAGCACCACAGTCGCCAGCACCGCAGCTGACAGCACCACCGAGAACCCAGGCACCGGTTAGGCTGCTTCTTCTTCATCTGTGACACTTTTGAAAATGTATTTGAATAAAAGCATAAAACTTCTTATGTAAAAACCTTACTGGTTTTATTTATCTCTATCTAAAACTCAAACCTTTACCCTTCTAGAGGGTATTTTAATTGTTCCGACCCGACAAAGCATATAGTAAAATGCGCGGCATCAACAGCCGAGTTGACCGTCTACATCAAATAGATAAATCTTTACATTGACTGCACGGGAAGATACCCTGTTTTATATGCTCAATATAGGTATGTTGGAATCAATGGTTTCCACCCATGTTAGTCATGAGGTGAGAAACTTGAAGCCAAAAAATTAAATTTCGTTCATTAAATCTTTAAATCCAAGAGCGATGGATTTTGCGAAAAACGTATCAAATACATTTTTACCAAAGATCTCTGAAATTGATTTGGCAGCCAAAGCAAAAAAGTTGCTAATATTCTGCCAGCTTTCCACAGTCGCAGGTGGAACTTCCAAAATCGCCGAAACATGCTTTCAATGAGTTTTTATGTTGAGTTTGAAGCTTGTCGAACGAAACTTAAAGTTTCGGCCTTATAACTTTATACCTTCATTTGTCATCCAAGAGGCGCGGATTTTGTGATAAATGTGAAACATGAATTTGAACAAAGATCTTTAAAAATTAGTTTTCGCGAATTTTTTACACTTGCAGGTGGAATTTCCCAAAACCCCGTCTTAGCGTGCACTTCCATCACATAAAGGAACTACAGCAAAAATTTCAGTTACCTAGCATTTACGGTGTTAGCTGTGCGTTGATCATCAATCTGTCGCTCAATCAGTCCATCAGATAGTCAGTCAGTCAGTCAGTCAGTCAGTCAGTCAGTCAGTCTGCCAGTCAGTCAACCATACAGTCAATCAATCAATCAATCAGTCAGTCAGCCAGTTTGTTAGTCAGTCAGTCAGTCAATCAATCAGTCCATTAGATAGTCCGTCAGTCGGTCAGTCAGTCAGTCAATCAATCAACCAATCAGTCAGTCAATCAATCAATCAGTCAGCCAGTCTGCCAGTCAGTCAGTCAGTCAATTATACAGTCAATCCTTCAATCAATCAGTCAGTCAGTCAGTCTGCCAGTCAGTCAGTCAGTCAATCAATCAGTCAATCAGTCAGTCAGTAAATTAGTTAGTCAGTCAGTCAATCAATCAGTCAATCAGCTAGTCAGGACAAACAGTTTTATATATAGATTTACATATTTAACTAGATCAAAGAAGCCTCCAACTGCACAAAACTAGTATACCCATTTTAAATGGGCTCAGGTTATAAAAATTACACATACGCCGCGTATGGCGCTTTGTAATTGCTGTTGTTGCTGCGGCTGCGGCTGCTGTGGCAGCTGCCGTTACAGCTGCAAGACTCTATTAGAACAAATTGCATTTTCAATAAGTGGTAGGCAATGCAACAACAACAACAACAACAACAACAAGAAACAATAACAATAACGAAACACAACATGAAGAAGAAGAAGAAGAACAACAACACCGAAAAAGAAGCTAAGAGATTGGAGCACAGATTACAGCACGAGTCGATGCTAACAGCACATGACATATGCTACATTATTTGGAGAGCCACACACACAAATGGACACACACACACGCAAACATGTAGGGCATGCACAAATCCAATAAATTGACCAATAATGAACGGTTGAACGCAAACATTGCTAGGAGCCAGCGGGAGCTGACAGTTGGGGCGGGGCGGAGAGGGGTCATGCGATGGCGGACAGCTGGCAAAAAGAAGAAAAAAATAAAAATAAATAAATAAAAGAAAACACAAAAACATGAAAAACCAAAGTTGAAAAGCCAAAAACAATGATGGTCAGTGGCAAAGCCCAAGACAGACCCAAAAACAACAGAAAAAGAAAAGAGAAAAAAATAGTTTAACAAAAAAAAGAAAAAGACAAAAGCAAAAACCTCAAACTGACACGAAAGGGAACACAAAAGCAAGTAAAACGCCAAAAAACATGCCAGAGTTACGCCAGAGCAGCAGCAGCTCAGCAGAATGCGCAAATACCCTACCTAGGCGTACGTAACAGAATGCTAACAGATGGTTAACAGTATGTTCAACAATCGGAACATTTCACTTGAATTGGATTGCTTGAGGCAATCTAACAGCATATTAACAGTGTGCCAACAGAATGCTGACAGTATGTTAGTAAAAGGCAGCTTAAGCAAGGCATGTCGCTTTAACATGGGCGTAACAGAATGCTAACAGAGTGTTAACAGTATGTTCAACATTCGTAACAGTTCATTTGTTCAACGGACTCTTTAAAGTATGTTGTCGACATATGCTTAACATGACACAATATGCCTAAAATTAAATATGTATATTGACTTGCCTTCGCTGTAAGCTGCGTAACATAATTGTAGCATAATTTTAATATTATGTTCTCTTAATACAGCCTTACTTATTTACTTATTTTAAAAATAAACATTCATTTTCGTTTGTCCTCCCTAACAGAATGCTAGAGAACTGTCAACAGTATGTTGTCTTAAAATCACATAATTTTTTATTAATATTTTTTTAATACATTTTCGTTTACCTTCACAATGTAACAGCATGCTAACAGTTTGTTGTCTAAAGGTATCTTAACTTGGTCTGCCTAGTTGAAACAACTGGTCACCCTGCAGACAGTGTTGGTTAACCAGCGCAAATCAAGTTCAAATAAATAATATTTGAAGAAAACGGATAACTTTTACTTTTTCCAGCTGTAAATATGCGTGAAGTTTAGGCTCAAGCTAACAAAACCCACTGAAGTAACGTAGCTAATATGCTCGCTGAAACTAAATGCAAAGGGTATAACCAAAGAGAAACTGCGAATGTTGGTGTGGACTAACTTCTGGATGCTCGATGGGATTGTGTGTGTGTGTGTGGGGGGCGCTACTAACAGCAAAATAATTCATTTTCAATTAAAATCGTATCAGTTGCCGTTGCTGGCATTAGCAAATAACGGCATTTCAGGGTTATCACAGCATCAAAAGCGCTTTCGAACCAGTGCGCTGGTTCGCAAGCTAATTGCCCGCGAGAGGGACAGGAGTCGGTTATCTGTTGCAGCTAGTTGGCAGCTTGATGATTATGTTGACCAACTTGTTTAACCACTTACTCACATTGCCCACTCTCCCCTCTCTCACTCTCCCTTTCTCACTCTCTCTCTCTCTCTCTCTCTCTCTCTCTCTCTCTCTCTATCTGTCTGTTCACAGTTCATCCGCTGGTGCAAGTGCCAAATCAATTGGTTGGCGCTCCGGTTCTAACGGATGTCACATTAATTTGCAACGTGGAGGCATCACCAAAGGCCATCAATTACTGGCAGCGCGAGAATGGTAAGTCTCCTGGCTTAGCCTTATTGGTTTATTGCCGTTTTTTCTTAGTGTATTTTCACTTTTTTGTGTGTTGAAAACTCGCCACGTAGCATACCCTGTACTCGTGCAAAATGGTTTGAAGAAAAGGTTGACAGCTCTGTCGAACCTTTTCACTTTGTCTGCATAGCAAAACATATGAATACTTTTTGATTTATCGTTATATTATCGATACAATTCGATATGTAAACATTTGGTATCGATATACAACTCATTTAGTATCGATATATCAACAAATAATTAATGATTTGCGTGTTTCACGTAAGCCTTTTTATAGAAGTTAAACCTAGCATTTTTATAGCGTTGATAAATCGATTAATTTTTGCAATTCATATCAAACGCTTATCGATAATAATATCTATAACATTGTTATATATGTATTCTCACTTATTCTTTTTGGTAAATCTTGTGACTAGTGTAATTTATTGCATCGATAAATCGATAAACTGTAGCAAAGCACTTTTTATCGATATACCAATAAACCGATATACCTACTCCTTGTCCGTCAGCTTTACTAGTCCATTACAGATTCAGACCGCTTATAAATCAAAGCGAAGACGAGAGGTTATTCCTTAAGCTTTCTATCATCTATCGTACAATTTATCGATATATATATCGTTCAGTTTATTTTGTTAGCATTTATTTCAATATCCGACACAGAATGGTAAAATACGATATACATCTAAACGATATTCGAATCGAATAAGTTTGTAAATAGCATTTGCTTTTATCAAATCACTTCTCGATATGTCGATATTTTCTTGCGATGTATCGATTATCGATTTGTCGAAGCTTTAATCAAAGTTCTTGATTCCAAATCTGAAACTGAGCACAGGTATGTTTGAGTCGTGCTCGTCTAGCTCAGCTTTCATTTCTACTATTTCAAATGCCTTTTTTTGTGCATTTTCCATTTTTTGGTCGTTGGTCTTAAGTGCGACGAGTGCGAAAGAGACTAAGAGAAAGTGAGAGAGGAAGCGAAAGAGGAAGATAGAAGGAGCTGAAGCTTTATAAACCCTTCAATGCCGCAATTTGTCTTTATTTGGTTCGTGTTCGATGCTCAAATATTTTCTTGCTGCCTGGCAACTTCTGGAGCCTGGCACCTCGAACCTGGGAAGCTGGTTCGCCGTGTTTTTTTTAACTCTTCTATTTTCCTTTTTTTTTGTTCTTTGGCTTTCGGGGCGCTTGTCAAGTGCATTTGACGTATATTGCAAACGTGACAGCATGGCACGAGCTGCCATCATTCAGGCAGAGGTCTGCAGGCATCGCAAATGTCATCATCAAAATGGACTTTTCGCTTCAGTTTCTACGGCTTCTTCTCCTCGCACTTATACGCTTTTCGCTTGCCACATTCCAATTTACATCTGCTTCTCTTTTCGATTGTTTTTTTTTTCGCAGGTGAAATGATTATTGCCGGTGATCGGTATGCCCTCACCGAGAAGGAGAACAACATGTACGCCATCGAGATGATTCTGCATATCCGGCGATTGCAGTCGACCGATTTTGGCGGCTACAAATGCATCTCGAAGAACAGCATTGGGGATACCGAGGGCACCATACGATTATATGGTAAGTTGACAGCAATAAAATATGAACTAGTTCCGTGTTCAAATGAACTTAGCCTAGCTTAGCCAGCCTTATTGGCATCAATAGCTTTTTTATGTACGCTATTTAATCAACTTTAACTATAACTGGAATTGGTGAACTAGTTCTTTTTATGAATTTGAATGTTATATGTTTCCTTGTCATTTTCATTTTTGAGTTGATAAGCCAAAACAACAGTTGACATTTTGAGTTAGAGCTGTGAACTAGTTCTTTGGGTTTTTATTAAAGTGAACCAGCATTGTTTGAAATATAATACTTGTTTTGTTTAATTATTCAGTTCTTCGTACGGAATGGTTCATTTTTTCAGTTTAAGCTGTGAGCTAGTTCTTTAAGTTTTTTTAATATGCATATGCTAAAATATATTATTTATTTATTTAATTGTTAATTGTTAATTTTTCATTTAAAGCTGTGAATGTTGATGGAACCAGCAACTTTTTACTCTTTATATCATGTTTACTTAACACGAACTTGACACTGACTCATTTGAACAAGTTCATTTCTAGTTTATACTTAAGTAATACTCTTTTAATTTATTTTTACCCCCAGAAATGGAACGTCCTGGCAAAAAAACGCAACGCGAGGAGGATCTTAATGAAGTGACGGTAAGCCAAGCAGATAATACACACACCCCACACACAACCCACACACAACCCACGAACAACCCACAGCACACCACAGCACACCCCACACACAGACAGAGGCAAACACATTTTATTAAATATTATTTCTATGGAAAATGCATTTGCTTTGAAAACTTGCCACAGAAGAACGAGGTGGTGCTGAAGGAGAACCGCCACGAGGATGGGTCGCGCAATCAGAATGGTCGCCTGTACAAGGACCGCAGCCAGGAGGCGGACATGGGCGGCGGAGCAGCCGCAGTCGGTGGCTGGTCAAGAACAATGCAGCTAATAAAGGCATTTCTATTAGCACTATTTGTATTATTAACAAGCAAATTGTTCTGCCAAACAAAGGGCAACACCCACACGGACTGGGGCCATGAAATGGAACAGGAACAGGAACAGGAACAGGCATGGGCAACTGAATTTTGGGATAGAGTCGAAAGATCAATGACAAGGACAACTGGCGCCGGAACAATGGGCCGGTGCCAGGGCAACAGCCGTTACAAAGGCCGTTTAATGTTATAGCTTAATTAAATTGTAATTATAAGAATGCATAAAAACAACAACAACAACAAATAGGCGCCAACAACCACACACACACACAGACATGGCCAAAAAGAACAACAGCTATGCCACGCCCCAAAAGATCTCCCAATCCTCCCTCTCCAACACACAAATAGGCGAACAATAGTTTCCGAGAGTTTTGGCGAGGTTTTTTTCTTTTGATTCAATTCAATATGAAAAAAGTACACGTATTGCATAAGTAGTTAAGATTAAATGGAAATTGAAAAAAAAACGCGTTTAAATGTTACCTCGTTAGTGGAAAAAAGAAAAACAAAGCAAAGAAAAACTTAAGTAAGATATGTCAAAGTTTATATGTTAATCTATTTGGTTCCAACAGGCTTTAGCTACTTCAAGTATTATATTAACGAGAAAGAATAACAAGCTTCGGTTCGCCGAAGATGCAATACCCTTGCGGACAGATCAGCGGGAAATATAGGCCACATTATACTCTGAGTGTTATATGTTATAGTTGTCCGATATTGATATTGATATAGATTTTATGTCTATATGTGTAACAAAATTCGCTAGTTTTGTTTTTTAAGATAAGTTGAGCAAATCTCAGGACAAGGGAGCATTAACCAACACTAGATCTCGGAACTTGGGAGCATTCATCAACACTAGGAGTTATATGTCTTTGCATTGCCCAACACTAGGTCTATGTGTTGCTTAATGCTCCCTGGTTCCGATTTGCTCAACTTATCTTAAAAAGCAAAACTAGCAAATTTGGTTTGAATAAGAATCCAATTTTCGACGAAAAGTAAAAATATTTAGAAAATATTCTGATCAAAATATAAAATTTTTCAATTGCTTTATTTCAATCCGATTTGAGGAATAGTTTGAAAAACGTTTAAATTAATATGTAGAGAATATTTTGAGAAAACAAAAACTTGTTCATAAGAAATACCTGAGAATTCCTAAAACAACCATATGCTTTACTTATCCGATTCGAGCCAATATATTAGCTCTCTGCTTTATAATAAAAGATATTTTGTCAAGTTCCATCAAAATAACAACACGAAGCGTTCAGTTAATATAGAACGATTGGGGAACAGCAGGTAAACATATTTTGCTGGGCATCAGAGTTGCCGCCATTTTCGAATACCCTCTGCAAGGATATTAACACAAGAAAGGCCCCAATCAAAAGCATACCATAAATAATCTTGAATACCTAATTAAAAACAACCCATTTAGCTTACCCCCATATCAACCCATTCTAGTTGTCTAAAGTTTTATTCTTTTAGGTTTCGTAAAGTGTTTCATGTTTGTGTATGGTTAGGTTAGGGGGGGCCCTGTATATACAATTAGATATACTATATATACGGAATATTTCAGCTCAAACCATATTATGGATAAATGTTTAGACAATTTATGGCAGACGGTAATGTAAATATTCGCACCTGTAGTGTTCTACACAATTTGTTAACCCATTGGCTCCATTTGATAAATATTTTCTTTTAAAATTGCTTTAGTTTTGTTCAGTTTATTAGATATATGATTATTGATAATAACCTCTTCAAATGCAGCCCAATATCTTAAGCTACACGAGTTTCCCAGATGCTTTCGCTTAAACTCACAAGAACTGGTTCACATGTGGTTCACCCGATAGTTCAAATATTGCTGTGAGTAGCGAAACTTGTTCAAATGACCATTTAAACTACTGCATCCAATCAGCAGCAATTGAACTGGTTCATGAACTAAACTCAAAAGAACAATCATAAAGTTTGCACAGAGAAAATGAATTAGTTCTAGAAATCTTTGGTCAAGCGAGCCGCGCAAAACTAGTTCAATTGAACCAGTTTACATTACCAAATGAACCTTTGCGAGAATTCGATGAGCAAATTCTACGATATTTCCAGCTATATTTTGACTATGGCAAATCCTACCAATACAACTGCTCTCCCTCTCTCTATCTCTAGGCTGAACTGTTTTGGTTCATGAACTCAGCTCAAAAGAACAGTATTAATATTTGCAACAAAAATGAACCAGTTCATTAAGCCACCGGCTAACCGCGACGAGCTGAGCTATTTCAAATGAACCAACTTATGATAATCAAATTGAACCGGTGCAAGAATTAGATGAGTATATTCGACGATATTCCCAGCTATACCCAACCAAATAAATCGCTCTCTCCCTAGGCTAAATGAACATACGTAAATGCATATGTGTCTGTATGTATATGTGTATGTGTATGTGTATATGTACTTATGTAATACGAACGTGTGCGTGTTCAGCTTAACTCCATGTTCAATATTGTGTATAAATACGCAACAAGACAGAAAAATGTGCCAAATGCATCTGGAAAAAATAAAAACACAAAAAAAAAAAGATATAGATATATATAAAAGAGATATGTATGCGTGTTCGATATTCAATATAGCAACAATAAAATCAAATATATGAACACATATTTGTAACTATAATAATCATTAGCCCGAATAAACCTGAGAGCAGGAAATATGAAAGAAGCTACAATAAATAATACCCATATTTGTGACAAGAATCGGCTATGTTCTAGAATTCTAGACCCCCCCTCCCCCCCCAAACCAATTGCTACTTAAATAAAGTACTACCGATTAACCCAGACGTACTCTGACTTAATATACGTACCAAAAATAAGTAAATGTATTAGTGAAAAGGTGAGCGGAAGCTGAGGACAGGCACAGCGAGGCAGGGAGAGAGATAAAGAAAACAAAATTTTAAAAATAATAATACAAGTTTATATACTTAAAATACATATATATATATATATATAAAGTATATAGGAAAAATTGAGGTTTTTTTTTTTGAGATAAAAAAGATATCGCATAGCAAATCAAAGTTACAAGTATAAGCGAAATATACATAAATCAACTACAATTATATTTAGCAAGAATTCAAAGAGATCAACTCTGACTTAAGCTAAAGTTAAAGTTAACTAAGTTCTCCATGTGAAAGCCCCATTAAAAACTATTATATAATATAATAAATGAAAACAGAAAAAAAAAAACGTAATGCATTCAATGTCTACGCTACAGTACATCTCCCAAAAAAAAAAGCTAACAAAAAAATATTAAAAAAAAAATACCAAAAACTAATAAAAAAATCCAATTTAAGAGTAAAATCACTCGAAAAGTACGCAAAAACTACTCATTTAAAAATACCAAAACTATAAATTGCAGTTAACGATAACGATAACGAAAACAATTTTAAATGTTGTTAGCCAAGTTTCAGCATTATGCATACTAAATATCTAAAACATTTAATAGATCGGTAACCACACTTTCTGTCTTTATGTTCATGTATATATGAAAATTATTTGTAATTTGTATTGTAAATTCTGATCAAACACAGCCCAACAGGAACAACAAAATGCCCCCAATATGCAAACAAAAAATTGATATAAAATAAACAAGTGAACAACTGGAAAATAAATGCAAAATAAAGAAAAATACGTATGGAAAAAATAATGGCGATTGAATTATTTTAATAACTGCTGGTATTTGCTGCACAGTATTTTTTTTCTGTCGTCTGAAATTTTAAATGCTGTTTATTAGTTCAACATGCCAGCGCGGAACAACAGCAGATTGTAAAGCTCTAATTCACTAAAGAGCATTGAACTTGCGCTTTTACATGAGTTTTAACATGGACTTTAACATGACTTGCACATGGTCTGTACCATGAGCTTTAACGCGAGCTTACCATGAGCTTTAAAAAGAACTTAAGCATGGACTTTAACATGCGCTTTAATGGACTTTAACATGAGCTTTAATATGACCTTAAACATAGAACTAAACATGAATTTGTACAGGAACTATAGCACGGACTTTAACATGAGCTTATAATGAGCTTTAACATGAACTGTTAACATGAGCTTTAACATGACCTTAAACAAAGACTATTACATAAATTTGTACATGAGCTATATCCCGGACTTCAACATGAGCTTTAACAGGAGCATCACATGAGTTTTCAAATTAACATGCACTTTTACATGACCTTGAACATGGACTTTAATATGAGCTTTCAGTTGAGCTTAACAATGAGTTTTAAAATGAATTTTAACACGCACTTTAAAATGCACATTAATATGCACTTTAACATGTACTTTGATAAGCACTTTAACATGAGCTTCACTATGAGCTTTAAAGTAAAGATTAAACTGGACATGCGCTTTAACATGAACTTTGACACTAGCTTTAATATGGACTTTAAAATGGACTTAAGCAAGACTTTTAACAAAAGCCTTACCATGAGCTTTAACATAAACTCTATCATTATTAACATGAACGTGATAATTTTGCAGCTAACTTAAATTCGGTTGATGAGCGCTTGAATATTTTAAAACAAAAACTTTAGGTCTTCAAAAATCTCGTAAGTATTTCTTAGATAAAATGTACAGATCTTTTATTTACGAGGAGAAACGAATGTGTCGGTTGCCAAACCTATAACCAAAGATCAGCATCATAGATTGAACTGGTTATAGCTATGAACCACTAGAAGAAACGTTTCTAAACAATCTTCAACCGGTTCTCATCAAATCATCTTAGAGCATCTTAAATAATATATAAACTTAATAGTTCCAAGTTCTGATGGACACTTGCTTAAAAGTAAACGTTAATCTTATTAGTTCCCCTCACAAGAAGAACACAAAAATTACATATTTATACACATTTTACTTAAAATAAGTAAAAAAGGTAGCAGTAATAAACTATCAAAATTTCCCAGCTACATTGCATTCCAAAAACAGTTTGACACTGTGGCAACACTGTAAGCCCCGAAATCAACTTGGATTAAGTTTAAGTTCTGGAACTTTGACATTAAGCCCTGGCAACAGCAGCAGCAGCCGCTTGACTTGGCAAGCACTTCAATTTGATGCACTTAAAGAGGACCGGGGGGTGTGCGGGCCCCCCCCCCCCCTCACAAACCCTCTCCCCTTCCAGACAACGTGGCAACTCTGGCCGCATGGTTTGGGAGGCTCGAGTTGCGCTGGAGACGACATCAAATCATTAGCAGTGCATAAAGCATGAAACCAGACACACCCCCTTACACACACACACACACACACACACACACACACACATACACATAGATATGCTGATGAATTTAAACTATTAGGCAAACGTGAGACGAAGTGGAGCTAATGCCACGCCCGCTCGCCCCCTTCTTCTGTGCGCTTTGTCTGTCTGGATTTTGGCTCTGCTTTAGCTGCTGATTCAGGTTCACATTCACATTTCCATTCTGGTTCTGGTTCTGGTTCTGGCTCCGCTTGGCATAACCTGCACATTGTTACGTTGGCACAAATGAAATCTTTGACTGTGGCAGCTAAAATCCACTAAACCTTCCCCCCCCCCCCCCCCCCCACACACTCCTCATCACCCGGCCCAATACAACTGTGCATGTAAAAGATGCAAATGTTAAGATATTATTTCCATTTGCATTGCCTGTGCCACCCCCAAAACAAAAAACAGGAAAAAAAAAACGAGAAATATGGATAACTTCAGCACACCGAAAAATGAATACCCTTGCTATATAAGAAAAGTGAAGCTCGCAAATGCGGAGTTTGAGTAAAATGTATTGCTAAAGAGAATATTTAGCCAGGCAAGAACCTAGTTATCGACGAATT